AAAAAAAAGCAAATTCAAGTTTAAAATGCTTTAAAGCTTTTCTTACTCTGTAAACAAAATGTTGATAAACCTCAGCAAAATGATCCTTCTAAATTTGTGTTTTCTTTGAATTGCCAAGAATAATAGCTTAAGATAGCATTCTTCCAGTACCTTTAAGTTTATTCACCAAAATTGATTTTTAAAGTTTAGAAACTAGCAGTTTGTTGTCTACCAGAAGCAAAAAAGTCACTTTGAGAACCTCAGCCAAAGACATTTATCTTGTAAATTTTACTCTGGGCGATCATTTTTCTTCAGTTTGATCTCAAAGGCCTCACTCTACAGATGTCTTTTGGAATACTGATTTCTCATGCTGTGCAATTCAGTGTATAAAGGAATTCTTTCCTTGTTTAAATTCAGACATGAAGATGCATATTTTCCTCTTATATCTTATTTTTAACCCTCCCAAAATGCTTTTTGAGTACTGTTTTACAACAACGTTAAATAAGAAGTATTGGTATTTTTATTTTTTATTTATTTTTTTATTTTTTTTAAAGATTTTATTTATTTATTCATGAGCGACAGAGGGGTAGAGAGAGAGAGAGAGAGAAGCAGGCTCCCAAGAGCCCGATGCGGGACTCGATCCCAGGACTCCGGGATCATGACCTGAGCCGAAGGCAGACGCTCAACCATCTGAGCCACCCAGGCGCCCCTTGCTTCCTCCTTCACTAAGGAAATAGGCAAGCAGAAGAGAGATCCCACAGACTCTCTCCACACCAGCCTGAGAGCAATACCTGCAACCAGGCTCTTGGAAAGAGTTGTCTGTACAGTTTCCAGCTCCTCTCTGTCCACACTTTTCTCCCAACATTTTGTAATTATGAAAAATTGTAAACATAGATACAGAAGTTGAAAAAAAGGAGTATAATGATCACTCATTCATGTACCGCCTAGATTCGCTTTTAAACATTTTACAGTATTTGCATTATCTAGATGTAAAAATACAAATACGTATGCATCTATAATTTTTAGCTTAACCATTTGAAAGTAAGTTCCAAACATTACAAACCTCACCCTCAATCCCTCAGCCGGTGTTTCCCCAATAACCACAAACCCATCATCTCACCTCTTCTGTGAACCTCCTTTGGTCTGTGAACCTCCTCTGGTCAGGCCTTCACCCCCACTGCTCCACCCCCGCCGCTCTCGAAGCCTCCTCTCGTTCGCCCTGGCAGGCATGTCTTCACAGCTGCGTGTCTCCGCATTCTTGCTATATATTCTCCTACCTGGCTTCTCCACTTCTCCCCCATCTCAGTGGCCGCTCCTTCACGGTCTTCCTTCTGGTCTATCTTCTTCTCTCCCGCCTCTTAATGCTAAGCTTCCCAGGGTTCAGGCCTTTCTGCCCGCCTCTGTCTTCACTCCCGCATGTCTCTCTTCCAGGGTTGTGACTTACAATACAATCTCTATGCCGACAGCTCACAAATTCCTGTCTCTAGCCCAGAACTCTCTTCTGAATTCCAGGCTCAGATTGCCAAAGGCCTCTTTGACGACTCCCATCCAACATGTCCCCAAGAGAATTTCTGTTCATCCCCTCAAAGACTGCCACCCACGACCTCCCCAGTCTGAGTTCATGGCAGGGCCGCCCTTCACTACCTCCACTGCTCTGAGCTGTCATTCTCTTCTGTCTATAGGACGGCAATTCTGTGTTTATTCTTGCCTCCTCCACAGTCTGTGGTCAACACAGTGGCCAGAGTAATCCTGTAAGAGTTTGTCACTTCTCTGCTCACCATGACCCCCCATTTCCCTTGGAGTAAAAGCCAGTCTTCCCAATGACCTACAAGGCCGTCTATGTTCTCGCCCCTCCCCACCATTTTGGCATCACCTCCTACTTCTCGCCCTCCTCGCCAGTCAAGGATGCCTGCAATGTGCCAAGAACCTTTTCACCAGCTGTGCCCTTTGCCTGAAGACTCTCTCCCCCTAAGTATCTTTTCCCTCATCATCCTCATCTCTTTGTTCAACAAAGCTCACCCTGACCATTCTATTTAAGATTATTGGTGCCAGGAATAGAAACTCAATGAGGGAAGGAATCTTTGTTTTGCTCATTGCTTGCTTCCCAGCGTACAGGACACTGCCTGCAATGTAGAGGGTGCTCAAGAAATATCAGCTGAATAAATGAAGGAGTAAACATGTGATGCCCTCCTCTTGGTAAAGATTTCCAGAAGAGATGGATGGCTTTATCTACAGGTGCTCTCAAACCAGGCTAGCCAGACCTGGCTTCACCGTGGGATGGAACTGAAAGCTTAGAGAGTGGATTTGAGTCAGTTAGTGCGTGCAGTACTTAAAAAAAGCTAGAGGAAGAGCAAGGCCTGAAGCCTGAGGGCCTCTTAGAACTCAGCCTTACCTTGCAGCCAGAACCCCTCCAGCTCACGGAGGCCACTCAGGGAGAATTCCTTCTGACCAGTCCCAAACCAGTTCATCGGGACCCAGGAAGTGACCTGTGGTCATGGGACTATTCCAGGGAGCCCCAGTGCTCTGAGGAAGGGAAGGATCAGGTACTAATTCTTGGGCAAATGCTGGCTATAGTATTGAGGCTCAGCGGGGTAGGAGATTTGGGGCCAGCTCTCCAAAGAAAACCTGGACAGAATACTCAGGCAGGTCCCCATCCTGACAGCCCCACCATGAAAACCAGGAAGACCAAGTCACAGGAAGTTCAGTCAAGACCTGGATAGGCAGTTGTCTGGCTCACCTTCTCATCACTCTGGGCCTAGTCCAGGGAGGCTGGGCCACATGAGGAGGCAGATGACCTTGCTCTGCACCTGATCATGGTCAAGGCTCTGTGGATGAGGAGGGGCTCAAAGGCTGAATAAGGATATCAACCTGAGAGTTGACAGCCTTCATTAAGCACCCTGGAGGCACCCTACGGTGCCTGTCAGGAAGTACGTCTGGGCCTGGCCAGAGAAATGGGGAGAACAGTGGTGACAGGTGCAGGAAGGAGAAGGCAGATTCAGGCTGACTGAAGGCTGCTGAGAAGGGAGTTTCCAAAAGCAGGGGTATCGCCAGATGGTTCCACCCCAGGGCTTGGGCAGCAGTGAGGGGCTGCTGGCTATGGCCAAACGTCACACCTAGCATCCACCCCAGAGTGAGGGCTTCCTGTGAGCAGGTCACCATGAAGCCGTTTCTAGAAAGACCTACTTCTCACACTCCTGTCCATCTTCCTCCTTCCTTACCTCGGGCAGGTGGACACCGAGAAACTACGGCAGTGTATCCGCACAGTTCTCTTCGACCAGGTCGTGATCTCTTTGCCCATGCTGGTCTTCCTCTATCCCATCCTCAAGCTGCGGGGAGACCCCTGCCACCGAGAGCTACCCACCTTCCACTGGTTCCTCCTGGAGCTGGCTATCTTCACTCTGATTGAGGAAGTCCTGTTCTACTACTCGCACCGGTGAGCGGGTCCTGGCCCAAGCACAGCTGGTTCCTCACTCTCCTAGGGCTCACTTTTAAGGGAGGAAACTGAGGCCTCGGAATTGTAGGTGTAAGACCAACACCACCTGGCCTCAAAAGCCTCTTCTTAGTTTACATGGCCACAACTGTTTGTTCCACGACTGACAACTTGAGGCAACTGAGAAATGTCCAGGAAAGAAAGAGCCTTCCGCATTCATGGTGTGCAGTGGGGCAGTTTCCCATTCGTTTCCTTATTGAATCCTTTGTGGGCACCATCCCCACCATCCCCACGGCTAGTACAACTGAGGTAGAGAGGCGCAAAGTAACCCACCCCCGAATTATGCAGCATAAGAGGTGGGGTTAGAACTCGAAGGCAGGTCTGTCCAAGCGCCAATCCAATGCGTTTGAAACTTTGCTCCATAGTCCTACCTTTGGTTTCTCATGGCCTGGTGGGAAAGGGAAAAGGGAGATTGGCAGATTATTAACTACTAACTATTTTCCCAGGCTCCTTCACCACCCAACATTCTACAAGAAAATCCACAAGAAACACCATGAGTGGACAGCTCCCATTGGCGTGATCTCTTTATACAGCCACCCTGTTGATCATGTGGTCAGTAAAGCTCTCCTCCAGGCAAAGGGCAGAGGGCCCCAACCACCTTCCCTGAGGCCTCCCGCAGAGAATTAGACCACAGTGCCCCCTCTCCCTTCTTCCCATTCAGCAGCTACCATTTTTTGTTGACCTAGTCTATGCGAGATGCCCAACGTTTAAGTTATCTCAAACAGTAACTTGTCCCAAAGTTATAAAGTTGAACGACTCCAGCGAATCAAGGTCCTGCAACCCTCAGTTTCTCCAGATCTGAGTCAAGAAAGTCTTCCTGGTACCACCCTGGGGCAAAGTGGACACCCACTGGGTCCCCTCCATCTCTCTAGGGCCCACCTTCAAACAGCCCTCCCTTTGCAGACCTCCAACATGCTGCCGGTGATGATGGGTCCCATAGTAATGGGCTCCCACTTGTCCTCCATCACCATGTGGTTCTCCTTGGCCCTCATCATCACCACCATTTCCCACTGTGGCTACCACCTACCTTTCCTGCCTTCACCTGAATTCCATGACTACCACCACCTCGAGTAAGACCTCCTTCCCCACTATGGGTCTCTGGGCAATAGCCTTCACCTTCCCTCCTGGAGCTTCCGGGAGCAGACATGACCCCGGTGTTTCAGTTTCAATGTGCTGGTGCTATGGGAGGGAGAGGTCTGGAAGTTGGGAGAATAATGAACAGGCTGGACCCAGATCACCTTGCTCTTTTCCTTCTTCCTGACACTGGGTCTTCCTGCAGCTATGGGTTTTTAACCTTTACTCAGGTCCTGGGCCCTTTGAGTATCTAATGTAAGCTATGGGCACTGTCAGAACAATGCATATACACATAAAAATACTGCACGCAATTCAAGGGGTTGTCCTCTCTGAAAGCCTCCAGGCTTTTGCAAGTGTGGTCTACAAACCTCCAGCACCATAATCGCCTGAGACACCTTGATGAAATGCAGGTTCTTGGGTTCCACTCCAGATGTGCGGAATCAAAGTGCGGGGGGCAGCAGGACTTGAAAAACTGCATTTTAGTAAGTGTTCTAGGGGATTCTGATGGAGGTGGCCCCTGCACCTACCTGAACAAGGCAAGCTCTGCCACAGGTTCTGACTTGTGTGCATCGGACACACATAGCTTTTCAAACCTATGGTCTGTAGGTTTTCAGTCTGGAGTGGCCCCAGGAATGTGTACAATTCCCTGGGATATTCTGATGGGGGTGGTCAGCGTGGTTTGGGATGGGTTTGGGGTAAGAAGGCTTAGAAATGTGAGGCTGGCACGAATGAAAAGAACAGCACACCAGCCTCCCGCACCTTCCTCTCTCCTCTAGGTTTAGCCAGTGCTATGGGGTGCTGGGAGTGCTGGACCACCTCCATGGGACCGACACAAGTGTTTAAGCAGACCAAGGCCTATGAGAGAGACATCCTCCTGCTGGGCTTCACCCCACTGTCTGAGAGCATCCCGGATGCCCCGAAGAAGATGGAGTGAGGGGGCGCCTGGGTGGCTCAGTCGTTAAGCGTCTGCCTTCGGCTCAGGTCATGATCCCAGGGTCCTGGGATCAAGCCCCACATCTCGCTGCTCAGCGGGGAATCTGCTTCTCCCTTTGACCCTCCCCCGCTCATGCTCTCTCTCAAATAAATAAAATCTTAAAAAAAAAAAAAATAGTGGTCTTGGTCCTTTGCTGTGGAAGGGGAGAAATGACCCCAGGCAACCTTTTTCTGGCCTAGACAAGACAGAGAATGCAAAGGTGGCAGCGAGATAGGAAGCTACTGCCAACTCCAGGGAGAGCTCTGGGTGCCAGGGGGTGAGGGAAACAGAAGGTATTGCTTTGCCCTTTCCTGTCCTCAAAAGCTTTTCACATACCCTACTCTGGCCAGGGCTAGGACACCCTCACTGCCAAAACAGGTCAGCTAACAAAGGCCCCATTTCAACTCTGCCCCACTGCAAACAAACATCATCCCTCTATGAAAAGAAAAATGCCAATCACAGAGAGCGCCTCCCTGGATTAAAACTGAGATATCAAAGAGGTGCACACCAAACCCCAACACCTACCTTCAGCCATACATGGAAACATGGAAACCAAAGGCCAAACCGTGTTAACCTGCTAAGCTGGAGGCCCTTTTATCCACAGAGGGAAGGGTCAGAGTTCCTGACCTTTGGGGACACCCAACTGAGGAGGCTAGAACCCTCTTCCTCCAGTGAGAAGGCAAGAAAAACATGACTGACCCAAGGGCAAAACCCTCATTTTCCCCCAAATGATTAACCAGCTTTCTCAACACCATTTATTTCAAATGAAACTTTGTCAGGAACCTTATTATCTAAAACAAAACCAAAGAGCTGCTTGGGTTGCAGCAGTCCCCAGCCTGGCCTTCCCTCAGCAGCCAGCCATTGCCAGGAACCCTGCAGCTCCCAAGAACAGTTTCAAGACCACCATTATCAGTTACTAAATCCTTGTTATATATTTGGGTCTGTTCCTGAACTTTCAGCTCTGTCAAGAAAACCATCCATTGTTTTATAAAATACCTTAATATCAGTAGGGCCAAGTCTCCAAGCTGATCTAAGACTCCTTCCGTCATATCAGCCCTACAACGCCGGACCTGCCCCGTACACCGACTGGGTGCTTACCAGAAAGTATCTTCCTTGGCCTTTCAAACCCCACCCGCCCCACTCTGGCCTGGGTGGGCCTGGCCCTGTCCCCAGGACACCCATGCCCTGAGCTTAAAGTACAGCTTCTGGGGCACCAGCGGTCTAAAGTGTCACAGCTGCCAGCCTGCACCCACAACCTGTTCTTAGAAGTCAACACTTGGGAAATAGCCCATCTTCAGTATACTTTAAAAGGGTAGGGAATGAGGAGAGTGAAGAGGAAGGACGGATGCCTTTTTTTCCCATGAGTCTTAGACTTTGAGGTACTGTAGAGGGTCAAGAGGCTGTCAGTCTCTCATCCCTTTTGGCAGCCAGGTGGCTGGGCTCTGACAGAGGGGCCAGTGAACAAATGAGGCTTAAGAAAAGGCTGAGGTCCCCAAATTCCCGACAGACCTCAAGAAGGTGAAAGGGGAAGGCATGGAAAATAAACTGGTCTCTCTTTAATTCCAGTAGGTGCTTCCGTGTTTTCTCTCCATGACGGTGACTAGTTCCGACGCTCTCAATCACGTGGCATCTCTGGGAGCCACAGCAACGCAATTAATCATCAGTGGCCACTCTCATGAGCATCCCTACCAGGTTGTGGAAGTAGGGTCTGTCTTCCTGACCCCAAATCCCTCTGCAGAAGCCCTGGTAACCACCTCCTAAACTCTCCTTCAGCCTATGGAGGCCATTGGTGGTCCTAAAGCACCTGCCCACATGAAGAATGGTGGAATTCTTTGGAAAAATGTTTCTGATGGGATGCTCAAGTGCCAGGCATGAATGAGTTGTCAGATTGAGTAAGGAAGGCCATGCCTCACTTCTAGTTTTGTAATTCTACATCGAGGCCAGACTAGCATTCTGAATGTTACTCCTGCCAGTACCTGGCTTCACGGGTCAGTGAAAAGCCACCAATAGCCCAGGGGCCAGTCACGGGTGGGGTGGGGTATAGTCACCATTCCAGCCTTTCCTAGCTTCAATCCTCAGGGCTCGCTGGCTGACCTGGATTCCTCTAAGGCCACAGAGTGCTGAACCGTTAGTCCTCTACACCCTAGTGGGGAAGTCTGTTTGGTGAGCGGCTGTGTGGGCCATGCGTGAGGCATCACGGGAACCTTCCTGGCTGTCTCCTTACAAGATGCCAGGCCACAGCCAGAGGATGGAAATCCCGGGAGCCAGGCAAATGGGCAGAAGCCCCCGGAGCTGCTGGACCCAGCAGCTCTCCGTTCTGTGGCTCCGGCTATCACTGCCATGTCTCACCTAAGACACAAGATGCGTGTGAATTCAAGGTTGGCAGAAGCTCTCAAAAGCACTGAGGAATTCACCTGGATGCATTCATTAGCTGCCTCGGGAGTCTGTTCCCTAGGCAGATTCCTCACAAGCCCAAGGGCAGAGCCCTGCAAAGCTTTCATGTACACATTCCGAGTGCAGTGTTCCCCTGGATCTAAGGGAACCCTAACCAGGCTCCATCCCTCAAGAGCTGTACCCCAGATGGGAGACCAGCCAGTATTTTGCCTTTTCAAGTTTTTATTTTTATACATTTTTTTGTATTAAAAAGAAAAGCATAATTACCACAAATTACAAAGGACTAAAGCAGGACTAGAATAATGAATGAATCACTTCAGCCTGGAAAGCAGATACTCTCAATAATATTAATGTTATAATACAAGCTCATTCAAGTATTTTACATTTTGTCCTTTTAAATGTGATATCCTAGCACATGGTAAAGATAATGTACTATGAGCATAAGGTGGAACCTTCTCCGCAAAGCCAGATGACAAGTTTTCCTCTCCAGTGAGAAATGGGCTATAAGTTCTGATCTTCTCTGCCTCTGCCATCAACATGGCTGAAGGAGAGCGTGGGGGCTGGGGCAAATCCAGGGACCCTTCCACACAGGACATACTTTGGGTCCCACTCATGAGGGCACCAGATGATCCAGACCGCTGTACCCAGGCTTTTGGGCAAAAACCAAAACCAAAACCAAAACCCAACCCCACCCGCCCTTGCCCCTCGTCTAGTCTAGTCGTCTTCCTCGCCCCTCCTCCCCACTTCCAGGGCCTTCTGAGCAGCTTACTTTCTTTTGTAAAATCAATCATCAGGAAAGGGGGGAAAAAAAGAAGAGCTACAATGGAACAAAACAAAAACGTTAACAACTTTCACATGGGGTCTCAGCACCTAGACCCGAGCCCCGGGGATCCAGGCTGGGGCAGGGCCAGGCAGCCACTCTCTACGGGTAGTGCATTTGCTCCCAGGTTCAGAAGAGGGCGAGAGAAACCTGCCCCTTAGCAGGGCTGAGGCACACAGACCTTGTGATGTTTGATGCCCAGAGGTCGTATTGGAGTGGACCAGTCATGGAAGGGTACAGGATGAGCAGAAGGGTTTGGGCAGGCTGCTGCTTTGTGTCTCAGGTCTTGGACCCCCACGGGAGGGTGGTGGGTGAGAAGCGGCAAGCCCCAATGGCTCTGGCCGCTCCTGGCATGCCTGTCACAGATACGTCGGTCCTAAATTCAAGTGTCTTCAGAAAGTGAAGATGTAAACTACTCTTTGCAACATTAACTCCTAACATGTTACAAAAAAAGGAAAAAAAAAAAAGCCCCCTCCCCCGCTCCTCAGCCTGCGTTGAGATGAAGTCCTCACCTCCCCACCCCGAAGGGGCGTCCTCTTTCTGGGGTGTCTGTGGGAGGATCAGGGAGGGGATGGCAGCCCCCTGGCCTGGGAGTAAACTCTAGGTGAGAAAAGCCTTTCTGCACACCCCCAAAGCTTCCTTGTGCCCCCAAACCCAGCAGAGGACAAACAGTGAGGTTCTATGGTGCTGGATACAGTACAGGGCTGAGCGATCCGAAGGAAAGAAAGGGGGTAAAAAGGGAAGGAAGAGGGGGCGCAGGAGTCCGGTGTCTGGTACAACGTGGGGCAGGTACCAGACAGCAGGGAAAGGCCCAGATCCCACTTTCAGAGCAGAGACCAGACACTCATCCTTGACTTTCAAGACAAGCGGGTCACAGGAACTGAGGTGGGCTTCCCACATACGAACCACTGGGAGGGCAGAGGTGGGGAAGGACACAGGCCGAAAGCAGAGGGCAAGCCCGTGCCAGCCTGGGATACTGTCTAGCGCTCCCGGTCTTTGGGCCCCACAGAAGAAGCGGTTAAAAGGAGGGCTGAGAAGTGTCAGCGATGCGGCGACACTGCCATCAGCTTCTCTGTGCTGCCCGGCCCCCACCAGCGGTGAACGTGTCGCCACGCCCGCACCCGGCACACAGCTCAACCTGTGTCGGTCAGTCCTCCGTCACCCTCCCCAGCTTCGGATGCCAGGAGAACTCCAGCCATTCCATTATCACTCACAGCCCAACCCAGTCAGTGGCTGGAGAAGAGAAGTCAGGTATACTCTATGTCCACATATACCTTCCTGCCGCGGGGCTTCTCCAACTGGCAGGATTCCCCCCAGCCCCCAAATCCTCCTCATCCCTCGTTCCCGGGCAGGGTCAATTGGAGGGTGGGCAGAGATGGCTTGCAGAGGGGGGATGCAAGATGGGGAGACCCCACCAGACCCGAGGGAGGAGAATGGCATCCTTCTCCACCTGTTCGGAGACAAAGCCTCCTTGAGGTCTCAGATCTTTCAGGGCAACACATTTCCAAGCCTCAGCTGCCAGGTGTTCGCCTTTCCCCTTGGAGGTGGGGGAGACGGTCAAGCTGAGGCCAAGTGTGTCCCAGGTCCAGGCCAATGCTCTTCTTCAACAGTTTGAAGCCAACCTGGCCTTGGGGTTCCAAGGGTAGGATGAAGGGTGTCATGGCAGGACGGGGCCTGTCATGAAGCAACAGCAAGCAGAGCGAGGACACGACAGTGGCAGCAGAGTACAGACACAGGACGTCAGCTTCCAACGATGCAACAGCAGGGGTATTTCGGGCACGGCTCTGATCGGAGCCGCCCCCATCTCTCTTGCCTACAGGCAGGAGGCACTGTACATGCAACTCAGTCCAGAGAAAGATTCTAGCCAAGCCAGCCCAGGCACGTCCAGAGAAGGTGTGAGCTCTTCGAGGTGACTCCGCCGAGGAAAACAGGCATTTGGGTATTTCAGATTCCCGCTCCACAATAAGGCAACTTTTAAAAAAATATTATTTCCAAGAACAAAACAAAACAAAAAACAAAATCCAAGGGTAGGGGAAAGACATCACTTTTTGTGGATTAGGTGGGGGTTTTCTGATTTATTTTTTTGGTCTTTTATGGTCGATTTTGTCTTTTTTTTTTTTTTTTTTTCTTCCAAGGATGGAAAGGTCAGAGAAAAATAAAATAAATCATCTTTCAATAGTCTTTTCTGGTATGAGCAGCGTCTCTCTGGGCTGGGGAGTAAGGGGTATGGGGAGGGGGGTGGGGAGAGGATGAAACCTTCCCCCGCCCCCACTTCTAGATCCTTTGGTTTCCTTCTCCCAGAAGATGGCAGAAGGGCATGGTGGGGACAGCAGGGGGAGAACATGGTGATGGCAAGCCCCAGATGATCAGGGGGCTGGTGCTCGTGGGGCCCAGGGACGCTGCCAGAGCCTTCCATGGGACAGTGCTGGGCAATGGGGCCCACAGGGCCTTCTTGTGGGCTGCATAGTTGGCTTGAGGGGGAGCAGGAGGAGGCTGTGGGTGGGAACCAGGGTGGCGGCCTACCAGCCGCGGGCAGGGCTACAGAGTGATTTTGGTAATCCAGACGAACTATCAATAATTTAAAACTTGATATATATATATATATATATATATAAAAAAAATCTCTCCCTTTCCCTCCCCCCCTTAGAAGAAGCTAGGATGTGAAGAAGAGTCATGGAGAGAGGAGGGGGAAGGGGGTATGTGGAGGCTCCTGCCCAGGGGTACCTCTGATAGCCCAAATGGTGTACATGTTGCTACTCAGCACGAAGGCCCATTCTAATGACTCTAGGCCTGTCCCTTCTCTGTCCCCTCTCCTGGGACTGGGCACCCCCATGGACTTTCGCCCACCCCCCATTCCCCCCCCAAAAACCCCAGGGCTAACAGGCTTTTCACTTTCCCAAAGTCTGTGTGTCCGAGTGCTGGCTTGTCCATTTGGCATCTTCCCGGACGGGCTGGCCAGTGGGTGGTGTGGGGGGTTGGCTGATCATGGTGGTGGGCCTGCTGGAAGACTGGGAGGGGCACCGCTTCCTGCCCTCACCGCCGCCACCTCCTGCTGCCACTGAGTGTCGCTTGTGGTTGCCCTCCTCACCCATGGGGGGCTGTAACAGAGGGAGTCACAGGTGATTAGGGGCCGCTACCCACACCCCCTTCCTTGCCAGGGCTCTCTGGAGACTTCTTACCTCCAAATGTAGATAATAGGTATAACCTTAAAAACTAATTACCAGTTTTATAAAGCACATCTTTGTGCCAAGATGCCCAGCCCCACGCTGTTTTCTGCACATTCACTCATGGGGCTCTGCACCGCCCTTTGATGGAGACACGATCATCCCAAAAGTAAAGCCCAAAGAAATAATTTGCCCAGGGTCCCATATCTTATAACCGGTGCCGACAAAACGTGGACTCGACCCATCTACCTCTGAAGCCCAGGCCCTCACCCACTCAAGTCTCTGCTCCCTTTCTGAGAAGGGATGATGCGTGGCATGTGGCATGCAATATGCTGAGACGTCTCCGCTCAGAGGGCCCAAATGCTCCAGGGGACTGCCTCATCTCCTTCTAAGCCCTAAAGAGGACAGTGACCTAAGAGTCAGACCATGATCCAGCCTGGCCTCACGGCTACCAAAGGTCCAGTGACCTCGAGGACATTTCCTTCCCTTTCTGGGGGCCAAAGCTCAACCCTTCTTATCCCACCCTCCACAGGTCTTCCTGCTACAAGGCTTCTCTGCACATGTGCCCCGCCCCCTCCAACCCCCAAGCACTGAGGTGCTTAAGGATGGAAGAAAACAGATACATCTTTATCCTGGGAGGGCTGAGCACCACTGCCACCATCTCACTGGGCGGCCGTGGGCTTCCATTTACCCACCGGTACAGCAAAAGCAACAATAGACCCTGCCTCCTCACCACATTATAAAGCTTAAAGGAGCTCAATATAAAGTGCCTAGCACAGTGCCTGGCACACAGGAATCACTCAATGGCAATTTTTTAATACACGTACGGACTCTTACTGCTATTTACTTATGTCTTTTTGCTAAAAGGTTTCAAGGGAATAAGATGACCAGCACAGCTCTACTACATTACAAACCCCCTGAAAGAAAGAACGTCTCACTTATCTCTGGAGTCCCTGAAGCACTTAAAACACAGAGACATCCATCACTCTACTGCTTCCCTGGATATGCCCAGTAGCAATAACCCTGACCCACCACTGGGTGGCACCATTGAGTCACTGTTCCAAGAAGATAGGGCTGGTGGCGACGATGGTGGGGTGTTAAACATAACTTACAAACTTCTATGGTTGGAACTGGCCTCTTCCAGAAAAAGCAAGGAAAGAGAGAAAAAACCCAATTTACCTGGGTACTCATCCCAGTCAACTAGTAATGGCTGATTAGGGCTCACCAGCAAGGAGGGGTAGGAGACAAAGGGAGAGACCATTATGATATTCAGCTAGCTACAGGACCATGGGAAGGAGGGAGGAGCAACCATACAACCCCCTTCAATTAGCTGTGAGTGTCCACCTTCTCAGCCTCTATTTTACAGGTGAAGACACTAAGGACTGATGGGGGGAAAGGGTCCCTAGGCTAGTGGCACAGCTGGGACCAGAACCAGGTATCCTGATCTCTGGTCCAGTTTTCTGTCCAGGAGAGGGGTGAGAAAGATGAGAGACTTTCACTCACATCCACTCGGAAGTCTTCGAGACGTCGGAATTTGCCGAGGTATTCTTGAAGTTTGGGGTCAATGTCCAAATTTTTGGCTTTGGAATATTTCAAGAAGGCCCAGAACTTCTCCAGTCCATAGAGTTGGCCTACAGGAAAGAAGAGGCAGAGGTAGAAGATCAGAGAGAAGCCGGACTGGTGAGGAGTTGAGAATAAAGAGGCTCAGGGGAGCAGGAGGTGGGATGAGACTGATACACAGGCAGACCCGGGTTGACCCGGGCAGGCAGAAGGGAAAGAAGACCTGGATGACCAGGCCCTGCAGAGTTCCAACTCGGCTCTCACCAGCTTCATAGTCCTTCACCGTTTCCTCCTGAAAATCCTTGAAGATGTCCAGCCGGAACTTCTTTTCCAGGCCGTAACTGTAGTATCGAAAAAGGCACTCCAAACCATATCTGTGGAACACAAGCCAGTGAAATTGGGACACAGTTTCTTTATTTGTAAAACAAGGAAACGCACCTGCATCATAAATGAACTAGGAAACCGTTTAAGCAGGTGGATTATCAAGAAAATGGTAACTAGGGCGCCTGGGTGGCTCAGTTGGTTAAGCGACTGCCTTCGGCTCAGGTCATGCTCCTGGAGTCCTGGGATCGAGTCCCGCATCGGGCTCCCCACTCAGCGGGGAGTCTGCTTCTCCCTCTGACCCTCCCCGCCTCCTGCTCTCTCTGTCTCATTCTCTCTCAAATAAATAAATAAAATCTTAAAAAAAAAAAAAAAAGAAAATGGTAACTAATCTTTAAGAAGGCTAACGTTTAATGCTAGTCTAAGTGGGGTCTAGCAGTTTATGATTTGCCAGGGGTCAGCAAACTCCACCCAAATGAACAAGGGCCCCCTGCCCACACTCATTTGTTCCTGAAGTCACTGGCTGCTTTGTGCTAGAAGAGCAGAGCTGAGTAGTTGTGACAGAGACCCCACCCCACCCCATGTCCTGCAAAGCCTAAAATACTTCTCATCTGTCCCTTTACAGAAAGTTTGCCAATCCTTGGGATGAGCTCTCTACAAAGTCATATGACCGTGTCAATTAGTAGGTCCGCTATCTGACTTCAGAAATTTTTACTTCTGGGGCACCCGGGTGGCTCAGTCAGTTAAGCACCTAAACCTTCGGCTCAGGTCGTGATCTTGGGGTCCTGGGATCGAGCCCCACACTGGGGTTCCTTCTCGGTGGCGGGGAGTCTGCTTTTCCCTCTCTGCCCCTCCCCCTGCACTTGTGCTTGCTTTCTCTCAAATAAATAAATAAAATCTAAAAAAAAAAAAAAAAAATTTACTTCTAGGAACATATGCCAAGAAAATGACCAAAAATACATTTTTATATTTTACAGATGTACAAAACTGTTCATAACATTATTAAACAAAATTTAAATGTCTTAGAGAAGTAGTTAAGAAAAATCATGGTAAATCTGTACAACAGAATATAAGCTATTAGGAATTACAATGTAGGGGCACCCAGGTGGCACAGTCGGTTGAGTGGTCAACTTTTGGTTTCAGCCCAGGTAGTGATCTTAGGGTTATGGGATCAAGCCCCATGTTGGGCTCCACACTGAGCATAGTCTGCTTGGGAGTTTCTCTCTCCCTCTGCCCCTCCCCACCACGCGTGTGCATGCTTGCTCACTTGCTCGCTCCCTCTCAAATAAATAAATCTTTCAAAAAAATTATAATGTAAATATACAATGAGGGATACTGAGAGATACTTATGATAGATTATCAAGTGGAAAAGATATGTTTCAAAATGTTATGGGAGAATGACCCCATTTTATAAACAAATATGCAATTTTCACATCCACACATGCATGCAAAGTCTGGAAGCGTACATACTTAAATATATTAACCCTGGTTATCTCTGGGAGTTGGGGTTTTCAAATGATCTTATCTATATTTTCTAAACTTCCAGCAAAAAGCATGTACAAATTTCTATAAGAAGGCAAAAAAGTTAAGTATTTTAACAACACGGAAAAATGCTCATGCTTATACATGATGAGTAAGACACAAAATGGCATTCATGTGATGATCTAAATGCATTAAATATGGCAGGACATTAACACTGGTTATCTCTGGATTGAAGCGTGTTTCCCTCCAGCTTCTTTAAACATTTCTGTACTTTTCAAATCACTTATAGAGAAAACCTTTTACTTGGCGGGAAGAAAGGTGTCTTCTAAAGGTATTTGTTTTTGTTTTTAATATTTTATTTATTTATTTGTCAGAGAGAGAGAGAGAGCACAAGCAGCGGGGAGTGGCAGGCAGAGGGAGAAGCAGGGTCCCCGCCGAGCAGGGAGCCCAATGCGGGGCTTGATCCCAGGACCCCGGGATCATGACCTGAGCCAAAGGCAGACACTTAACCCACTGAGCCACCCAGGCACCCCAGGTATTTGTTTTTTAATAGCAAAATACTGAAAACAACCAAAATATCTATTAACAGGAGACTGGTTAAGTAAGCTATGGTACATCCATACAGGGTAAGACTGTACAGGCTATAAAAAGGAACAAGAAAGTTATTTACGTATGGATACAAAATGACCTCTAAAATACAGTATTAGGGACACCTGGGTGGCTCAGTCATTAAGCGTCTGCCTTCGGCTCAGGTCATGATCCCAGGGTCCTGGGATCGAGCCCCACATCGGGCTCCCTGCTCAGCGGGGAGCCTGCTTCTCCCTCTCCCTCTGCCTGCTGCTCCCCCCTGCTTGTGCTCTCTCTCTCTGTCTCTCTGATAGATAGATAGATAGATATAGATAGATAGATAGATAGATAAAATCTTAAAAAAAAATACAGTATTAAAAAAGGTGCAAAATAGTATCTAATAGAGGCTATCCTCTGTGTAAACAACAGGGGCCTAGTGGGAGACTACAGGGATATCCTTGCTTACACAAGTGAAGTATTTTTAGGTAAGGCCTCAGGTTTCTGACCATGCTCGCTATCTGTGGGGAAAGGAACTGGAGGCAGGTGAACAGGGATGAGGAGACTTCTCATGATATAACCTTTGACCTCTTTGCATTTTGAACCATGTGAACATTATTACTCATTCAAAAATCATCATCTTTTTATAAAGTATATTTGGGAAACACACAAGAGATTTTTGGTTACACTTCTGGAGGCAGACCCACCAGGGACCCCTCAAGCCCCTGCAAGCACCAGCCAGACCCCAACCCCCCCAGCCTGCACCCCCACATGCCGCTCACCTGTAGCCTTCTTTGGCATCCTCCAGAGCCAGCTGCTTAAACTCCTCATACATCTTCTTGTTGAAGTGATCTCGGAGGAAGAAGGACCAGAAGCGGAAGAGAGTGTTCATCTCCTGAGACTGGCCAATGCCCAAGCGTTTCCGCTCTGATGGGGGAGGAAGGAGGAAAGACGGATCAGGGTCACACTGCCTGTGATTCAGGGGACAAATGTTCTTGGGCTCAAGGACTTCGGTCCTTTCTCCTATACCCCCTCCCCTCCCAATTCCTTTGCTCAACCCCTGTCCTTTTGGTCTTTGAAGAGATAGTTACTGAGCACTATCCTATGTCAGGCCCTGCTGCTGGACACTGGACCTGACCTCAACACAAGCAGGTGGCATCAGCTTCTAAACCAGGTCACCGTGGTCTAGCTGTTCACCTCAAATACTCCTGCTCACAAGCGTAGTTAGAACAAGGAAAAGCATGAACAACTAATTTGGCAATCCAACAACTTATATTCATTATTCATCACCACCAATCATTATTTTCAGAGTCCTACAATATTAACAATTACAAAATGGTAACATTAAAAATACACAACACCAAAGCACAAACAACAAAAGAAGAGATATATTTAGTATCATTAAAAAACCTAGGGGCGCCTGGGTGGCTCAGTTGGTTAAGCATCTGCCTTGGGCTCCGGTCATGGTCCCAGGGTCCTGGGATCGAGTCCCGCATCAGACTCCCCGCTCAGCGGGGAGTCTGCTTCTCCCTCTGCCTCTGCCTGCCGCTATGCCTACTGTGTTCTCTATCTCTGTCAAATAAATAAATAAGATCTTAAAAAAATTAATAAAATAAAAAACTAAACACCTCTGTGCTTCAAAGGACAATATCAACAAAGTGAGAAAACAACCCAGAGTGGGGAAAAAGTATTTGCGAATCATGAAATCTGTTAAGGGACTTGTACCTAGAATATATAAAGAACTTACAATTTAATAATAAAGACAAATAATCTAGTTAAAAAAGTAGGCAAAGGATCTGAATGGACATTTCTCCAAAGATATACAAATGGCCAATAAGCACATGAAAAAAATGTTCAACATGAACAGCTATTGGGGAAATGCAAATGGAAACCACGAGGAGGTATCACCTATCTACCTCACACCTATTAGGATAGCGATCATCAGAAAGATAAGACGACAAGTGTTGGGACGACGGGGAGCCATCAGAAGCCTCATACTTTCTGTCAGGAACAACAAATGGCCCCGCTTTGGAAAACAGTCTCACAATTCCTCCAAAGGTTAAACACAAGAGTTATCACATGACCCTGCAAATGAAAACCTACATCCACACAAAAATGGACATGTTCACAGCAGCATTATTCATCATAAACGGAACGTGGAAATCCAAAGGCCCATCAGTGACGGACAGACAGACATGACGTGACATAGCCTCCCTCTGCTGGAGTGCCACCAGGGCCAAGGAGAGGAATGAAGCACCGGCGCCACGCTACAACGGAGATGAAGTGTGAGAACAGCATGCTCAAGAAGAAGCCAGTCACAAAGGACTGCCGATCAGATGACTGTATTGCCAAGAAAAGCCCAGAACCGGCAAGTCCGCCCAGACTGGAGGTTGTGCAGGCCTGGGAGGAGCTGCAGCGATGGAGATGGGAAGTGACCTGTAAGGGGCACAGGGTTTCTACCGGTGGTGATGAAAATGTTCTAACATCGATTGCGGGGACAGACACACAACTCTGGAATATACTGAAAGCCACTGCACCATACACTTTAAATGGGTCGACTGTGGAGTATGTGAGTTCTAGCTCCATAATGCAGTCACCACACACAAGCACACAGAGTAAGGCAGATGAGTGAGCATTTAGCAGCCCTGTGCTAACTGAAAAGGGGTGCAGCAGTTAGCGAGAACTACAGGGGAGCACTAAGGCTGCTTCTGAGCATCTTTACAGCCAACCTGACAGAATCCTACAGTTAAGAGACATCTCATTTTGTGATAAAAGGAAACACATGGGAATATCTAGAGATTCTTTCCTTACACTGTCTTCTAAGAGCAGGGGTCAGCAAACTTTTTCCTATCAAAGACCAGAGTAAATATTTTAGGCTTTACAGGCTTCATGTGGTCTCGGTCATAAGCTCCTCTCTTTTTCCTTCATAACCCCTTAAAAATGTAAAAATTGTTCCTAGCTCAGGGGCTGTACAAAAATAGGCAGCTAGCTGGATTTGGTCCACAGGCCATGGTTAAGCCACCCCTGCTCTAGAGAATCTATGCCACCCCAGGCACACCCTTTTATGATCAACAGTGGATCACAGTGGACAATAGTTGACTTAGCAGTCATGCCAGAAATAGAATCTATCAAGAGAGAAGGATCAAAGAACAGAAATGTTCTCAGTATCAGATTCTTTTAGCCTCCTATATCCCAAAACTACCTGGCCCAAGTCTAACTACAATCCTTCTTGCTCTAAGGTCAGAGAAAGCAGAATCACCTGCTCCACCAGCACTTAAATTCTGGACTTAAGTAGTGGCCCCAAAGGCTAGGGCCCTCTGCCCCTGTGCTTCTTACCATTAAGGCAGCGCCTACGGTACTTGTGGTAGACGTGTTGTGTGAAGCCATTTTCCTTGAGCAGCTCGTGGGAAGGATGCTGGAACTTGGGCAGAGACTGAGGGGTACAGCCATAGCTGCCAACTGCAGGTGTCCCTTCTGAGGGGCTGGAGCTAGAGGCCAGGAGAGAGACAGTGTCACCGGGTCCCCTGGAGCGGCTGGCCATCAGGTGAGGAGGGGCCCCTCTGTTCCATCAGACAAGCTCGAGCCTCTCAAAGGGCAACAAAGAGCCCTAAGTACTGTGGAAGGCCAACTTACATCCTTCAGCCCGAATCACTCGAGTCGACCTTTGGTGGGTTTTACAAAGCAGCCACTGAGGCTCAGAGACTGGGAAACTTGACCTGGGTCATGGACTGTTTTACATCCCAGATCGGCACAATGCCCAAATCCGAGCTTAGAAGCATTTATTTATCCCAAATTCACATTTAACTTTCTTTGATGAGCTATTAATGGGGTAGTCCATCTGTGTTTTCCTTTAACCATGCCTATTCTCCGTCTGCACCATCTCTGCAGGGAGGAGAGTGCACAGGACAGGGGCTCCCAAATGTTGCTCTTGAACAGGGAACACCGGGGCAATTTTCAAGGGCGGGGGGTGGGGGGGACCTGAACCCCACCCCCAAGAAGCTGAGTCAGTGGATCTAGGGTGGGGCCCAGGAATCTGTATTTTCATTTAATGACCTGGCTATCCCAAGGCAGGCAGCACATATCACCCCTGAAATCAATTCACAGATATTCTCTCTCTGAGAGAATCTGGTCCCAGGTGGCTGTGACACCACTTCTTTGGGAAAACCTTCCCAGGCCCTGGATTACCTTTTCTAGACATCTCCAGATTTTTGGATTTAGGTTAAGGGTCCCTTTCTTTAATTTACAGACCAAAGAGGTTCCTTCTTGGTCCTGTCAACTGCCTGGCTTTCCCACCCACGCTGCCGTCAGCCTCATCTCTCCTCTCCACCATGCTGGCACCTGATGGAAGCCGTCCGGGGCCTGTGCTCGCGGGAATCCATCACCCAGCCCACGTGACTCTCCAGGGGCGGGTTTGAGCTGTGTCTTGTCTTCCTTTTCCGAGGCATCTGCAAAGGTCAGTCCAGAATTTGCTATTAACTCACAGAACTCTGAGGAACACCAAGCATTTATAGGACTAAGATCCCCTCATGTGTGTGAGTTATTCACAATTTACAAAGCATTTTCATATCCAGCCTCTCACACATGAGGTTCACAGCTCTGAGCCAGGAAATGGTATGCCGATCTCACAGGTGAGGAAATCGAGGCTTGGGAGCCCAAGGATCCACACCTGGTCAATCCTCCTTGGGCCTTATCATGATGACATGGGGCCACCACCTCCACACCCAGTCCCTCTCTCAGATGTGGCCACTCGATCCCGGGTGGGCCCACCAGCCTAAGAACACAGAGCAGGTCTGGGATTTGGCCATCTCTTGGCTTAGGCAAGGGAAAGCAGCAAAGCCCTGGAACGCAGTTAAGTGAGCCCAAGACTCTTAGCCCCACAGCAGGAGCGCCTCACCTTGGCATCTAGCGTCCGTCCTTCTTTCACTACTGGGTAAAACCGTGATGTCTGACTTGAGTCTTTGAGCTGCGGTGTCCGGGGAGTGCGGGGGGTCCTGGTATTGCGGTAGTTTGGCGACTCTGGGACAGTGGTTGGTAGAGAACGGGCGATGGTGGAGGGCTCAGGAGCACCAAACAATTTGTTGGCCAGGGCATCAGTGGGGACTGCAGAGGGAGAGTGGGCCAGTGACCGCCTGTACCTGGGAGGCCCCCTGTCAGAGGGCTGTATTTGCCCACCCAGGCTGGGGTCCCAGGTGTCACCTCTCTCTCACCTTGTTGGAAGCGGGGTGGTCCAGGAGGGACCTCCTGGTTGGGATCCACTGGGGGCTCTGGGGTTAGTGTGTCAAACTGCTCCCGGCTGATCATGTTGACTTTCTTGAAGTTCTCGACTTCTTGCTGCAGAGGATAAAAGATGGGTGGGGAGACAATGTTAGTAAGAAACTGCCCCAGCCTGTTCAGGAATCAAGACGTGCAGGAAGTCGCAGAGGGCAGCTCCCACGTCCACATACATGGAATTCTGGTCCCCAGGCTCTCAGCTGCCCCACACCATTCCCCAGCCCCAGTTACCTGGGCACGAGTGTGCCAACGCAGGACTGAGCGCCTGCCCAGCCCTCTTTGCAGCAAGACAGATGAAGAGCTCCCTACAGACCCGACTCGTCTCTCACCTCCACCAAACGCCCTGCTGCTTACTACTACACAGGCTCACCTCACAGAGCTACTCTCTAAAACCCTACAAGTTTTGACTGTTTCCAGACAGCAGTGATTTTTTTTTTTAAACCTGTCTTTTCTTTATCTTCCATACTCAAAACAAGCTCCTGAAAACTTTTATATAGGCCTAAGAATTATTTTTTTTTTTTAAGATTTTATTTATTTTTTGACAGAGAGCAAACACAAGCAGGGGGAGTGGGAGAGGGAGAAGCAGGCTTCCTGTGGAGCAGGGAGCCTGATGCAGGGCTCGATCCCAGGACGCTGGGATCATGACCTGAGCCGAAGGCAGACGCTTAATGACTGAGCCACCCAGGCAGCCCAGGCCTAAATTTTTAAGAAGAGAAGTAACAATCCAATCTCTCTTCTCTTCCCCACCAGTGTGGCTGACTGTCAGGACATTAAACGTGGACGTTCAGGCGGCACAATGATCGCCTCTCATGGTGACACAGCTTACAAAGTGTCTCTACATCTCTCCTCACTTCATGCCCCAGCTGGGTGTCAATTACTACCCCCTTTTCACACACGAGGATACTGAGACTCTGCCCAAGGGCACAGAGCGAATCAGCCTTCCTCCTTCCCATATGTTATAGACACTCCACGCTCCCCCACCACTGCTGTTGTCTGAGCCTGACCTTGATCTGGGAATACTCAGGTTCAAACTTCTCAGTCCACAGGTCCTGCTCGTAGTAGAAGAGCCCATCGTTAATGACCTTGGCCAGCTCAGCGCTCATCTTGGCACGCGAGGTGTGGTTGCCTGTGCGGTCCCCCCCAGGGTGCCGACGCATATAAGGTGGCGTCTGGGTGACAATGAGGATCTTGTTCACATCCCGGTCATCAATCTCATAGTCAGAGTCCTCATCAGACCAGGCGGTGAAGGTGTTCTTCCGCCCATCCATCTGCTCCATCTCCTCGTCAAACAGGAAATCTAGCTCCTCTTGCTCATCCTGCTCCTTGGACATCAGCTGCTGAGAAGGCAGCTGCTGAGGCAGAGAGGTCGTGTGGAGGAACCTGGGCTCCTCTGACTTCTAAAATGGGCAAGATCAAGGATGGGGGGTGAGATCACCAGGGGGTCCTTGGACCAGCCTCTGTAGCTGTCTGCCCAGAGGGAGGCCCTGGCCATGCCAGCAAGCCACAGCTGCCAGCCCTGCAGCCAGTCCCCCAGGACTCTCGGTTTCCTCCCTCCCAGCTCACACCACAGTCATTCACAATGAGGTGACAAGGCCCCACAGCCACCTGTGCTCTCATTTACCTAGCCTGGGGGTGGGCACACAGCATAAGTTCTACAGGTTAATCCATCCATTCCATCTATCCAAAATCTCTCCAAGAAAATGGAAGCCTCATCAGGCAGGGGCCACGGCTGCCTTGCTTTCCATCATATCCTTAGTACTTAGACCGGGACCTAGCAATAGCAGATGCTCGACTGTTTGATGAGTGAGCAAGAGCCCACTGATACAATGCCCTACAGAAGACACAATTCTTGAACTTAAGGCAGCTCACAGTTTTGTGGGAGAAAAGTCAAACAACCAGCCAGACAAATGCAATGTGGTGTTGGTAAAGATTATAAATAAAATTTGTGGACTACACAGGGAAAGGCACTTAACCAAGTATAGGTAGGAGTGGGAACAGTCTGGGAAGGCTTCCTGGGAGACGTAATCACTGAAGAAGGATGAGCGTAAGTAAGCCAGATGAAGGCAGGGACAAAGAGTGTACGAGGCAGAAAGAACAGCATGTTCCAGAGACAAGAGAAAACAGGGTGCTTTTGGCAAAAAGAAAATATTTTAGAGTGTTGCTAGGATGAATTTATGAGACTTCGGGGCAGAAGCATTTGTCCACCTCACAATTTATATCCAAAAAGTCAATTCCCTGCTTTGCAAAAAGCTTCTCATATAAACTCCAAACCTACTCTCTTTTGAGGCTCAAGATAGGCCAGGTGGAAGCAAGGCTCTAATTCTGGAATGGGGGCTAAGCCTGTCTGCTTTCCAAACCTTCACAGTCTGTGGGCCTGGACCTCAAAAGGTCCCCATCCACTGTTTTCGTCTTGACTCTGGCCTGATCCCTGACACTCTGGGAAGGAGCACAGCCAGAAGAGAGGGAAGTTGGGGTATGAACAAGAGGGAGGTAGTCACAGCGGCACAGTGGAAAAGAAGAGATTTTCAGAGACCCAAAGTCCAAGGTCGTCTATGAGGCCTCCTCACAAGCCCCTGACCAAAGAGATCTCCCAAGAGGAGATGGGGAATGGGGCAGATGGAGTACACATCTGCTCCTGGAAGGGAGGCACCAGTTTTAGTTTGAAATGGAAACACTTCTTGAAGGGTGGACTCGACGTGTACTACTGGCATATTGCTTTACAATTTCTAGAGCAGTCTAAGCCCTGCTTTCTTTCATCTGAAGATGGGAACACTGGAGACTTGAGATATTAAACAAGCTTCCCAAGGTCAACAGCCATCAGTGCTCGGAGACCTGTGTTCTCGTCTAGACTAACTCTACATCCAGGCCACGTGTCTGCTCCCTTTCCCTTCACTCTCCACAGGGCCTGAGTGGCTTACAGAGGGAACAACGGGGGCACACTCAGGCACTACGGCAGCCCCAGCGATTTCAATGGGGCAAGACAAAGAGCCAAACACCAAGAAACCTGGGACACTGCTGCCAGGGGCCACAGGGCTTCCTCCTGTGAAGACTGCCACTCAGGAACTCACACAGCGGGAGCTGTCCTGAGAGGTCATCCTCACTGGAAAAGGACAGGTGCCCACCAGCTTTCCCGCAGTCCCTGCTGACCTCGGCTCACATCACAACCCCAGAGCCCGCCGGCCTGTGGGCTGAGCCCCTCGGAGTCCCGGGCCGCACCCACCTTGGGCCGTGCTGGGGACGGCCGCGGCCTCTTCTTCACTTCAATCCAGTTCTCCGAATCCAAGTCAGGCAGGCTGGCAGAGAGGCCCTTGGGCAGCGTCTTTAGGTTGCTGACCTCCTCTGTTTTGGTTGGCACTGGGGTGACTGCACGGGGAGAACCAGGCGCTGACTCTGAAGGGTGGAAAGGTGAGGTCCTCAACCTTCCAGTCCTCCTCCTGATGCCAGCTCTAAGGAGGCCTGCTGGCGGGGGGGCAAGGACAAGACGAAGGCACCTACAGGCCAGCAGGACCTACCTGTCTCCTTCTGGTAATGCTGACGGGGCACAAACTCGGGGCAGTTGAGAAGCTGGGAGAAATCGGTCTGGGAATAATCCACTATTGGGGGACCAGGAAGAGGCCATTTCTCTGGCTCCTCCCTCCTGCGGACTTTCTCATCAACGATCTCCACCACCTTGCTGTCCTTTAGGGCCTGCAGGGGAGAAGGAAGGAGACGATGCAGAGAAAAGACTTGGACAGAATGAAGTCTTGGAGGCTGGCAGACAGATGACTGGGCCCCTCGAGCTCAGGTAAGAGTCTGGTGCTGGCAGGGGTATAAGAAAACTGGCACCATCTTCCACAACTGGCAGACAGAGGAAGATGTTCAAACTTGTAGGAGGGGACCAACATGGAAAACACACCTGCCCTGTGACCTTGCCACTCTACATCCACTAATTTGCCCGCAGAGAAACACAGCCATAGACAGATGACATTATGTGTAAGATTTGAATAAAAAGCCATTCACAGCAACACTGTCTGTAATATGGAGAAAATGGGAAACTACTCAACTTGCCACCACACAGACAATTTAAAATAAATGATGGCACATCCACTCAGTGGTATACGACTCAGACATTTAAAAATAGCCTCACATGTGCTGAGGTGGAAAAAGCCATAAAAAAGCAGGTCTAGGTCAATGTGTCTAAGACGCCACTGGTGTTCGAATTTTTTTTTTTTTTAAGATTTTATTTATTTATTTGACAGAGAGAGACATAGCGAGGGAGGGAACACAAGCAGGGGAGGGAGAGGGAGAAGCAGGCTTCCCACAGAGCAGGGAGCCCGACGCAGGGCTCGATCCCAGGACCCTGGGATGATGACCTGAGCTGAAGGCAGACCCTTAACGACTGAGCCACCCAGGCGCCCCTAGTGTTCAAATTTTTAAATAAAAACTTACAAACTACATACATATTTTTCTAGGATTCACAGATAAACTGCTACAGGTGTTCATCTCTAGGAAAAAGGATGAAGAGTGGAGAAGGGAGGAGAGCTGTCTTTAAAAATCTTTTTAGTGGAAAGGGGAAACACTTCAACAGCACAACACATGACAACACGCTCTGTCGGTGAGGCCGGGGCAAGAGGCACTCCGCTATACTGCTGGCGGAAGTCACTGAAGAAAGGGAACCCAGCAGTCTGCAATTTGCCCCGCAGTGCAGTCTTCTCACTTCTAGAAATCTACACCAAAGATACACTGGCAAAAATACGGAAAAATATATATGCAACTCTAACTAGGAACGAAGTACTATTATGCAGTCAGCTCCCAGATGTATTAAGTCAAAACAAAAGAACAGGTGAACAAATGCATGCATTACATGTTGCCATCTAACTAACACAGGGGAAGGATACAAATACACTGAGAGGCATTTGCTTATTTTTTTTAATGGAAGGATTCAAAACAAGTTGCCTACAGGGGAATAAAAGGAGAAAGGCATAAGTGAGAGAATTTTAAATTGGACTTCTAGGAATATACCGTGTTGAGTTTAGAACCATGTAAATGTTCTACCTAAATGCAAAACAAATTAGAAATTGGAGGGGAAAAAGCAATCCCTAAAACTTGAGAGCAAAATGAAACTAACAAAACTAATGTACATCAAATTAGGGACATAACTACACAAAGATTATTTCAAGTACTTAAAAATACAGTCATTTGAGTGTATAAGTAGAAAAAAACATGTTTTTAGTAGTAGTAGAGATATTATTACGAGAATAAGGATATAAACTCTTGAATAAAAGAAATGACTAATTATGTTGAGGTCAACAGCAATTAGGACTTGGGGTACAGGAGAAAAGAGTATTAGCGATAAAAGATCATTGGTGTTAAGAAAAGACCCTGTAGTCCTAAACTTTAATAGAAAATATCAGTATAATCTCCTGATGTATTAAAAAAAAAAAAAGGCTCTAGAAACAATGACCAATCAAAGCAGCAACGAACATCCCTATAACTCAGACCGTGTGGTACATCAATACCATTTCCCCAGAAGAGAGGACCTAGAACTCCTTGAAAAAATGGCTTATTCCAGATCTGAGGCAGGAAACGTACCAGATCAACCAGGGTTCCACTAGCCACGGATGGGACAACTGGATTCAGCATATGAACTGCAATGGGTTCAAACAACTGCAGCATGTCTGAATCCACAGGTTGGTGATGATACTAAGACATTAAAGTAAAAAACAAAACAAAACAAAAAAACAACCAAACCCAAACTCTTGAAAGTTATTGGGGATCAACTCATAATTTTGACAACTGATTAACAAAGGGAAAGATCAAGCATTTATCCACCCTTTCTGTACAAACCATACCTCTTGGTAACTGAATAGCTGATGAAGCAAAGTTCCTCCTTAAAGAGGTATTCCAGCTAACAAATGAAGACAGATCCATAGAATTAGATTTTCACCATTTCACAATCCCTAATGAAATAACAGGCAGTGATCATCAACAGCAGCTTGCATCACAAGAGAGAACGAGTGAAATGCTATGCGCCACCTGAGAGATCATATCATTATCTATAAAGCAGCCTTGGCAAAGAAGGGAGGAAAACCCCCCAAACCTGAATCCAATCAGGCCTCTGGATCACCAATTTACAAAAAATTCGGAATACAGAAGAACACATTAGATGACAGCACTGTGTCCCTCCCATGAGAAATTAGATAAGATATACAACCCAGGTTATTCAAATAATGAATTGCAAGGAGAAAGAGAGGGGAAGGGGATACTTAGCAAGACAACACATAGGTCTTTTTGGGATCCCGAATCTCATAAAGCACATTTTTTTTTTCACAAGTGGGGTGAATTCCAGCGGATGGTTTGGACATATTAAGGAACTGTTAGTATCTTTTACATGTGATGATGATATGGTGACTATGTTTTTTTACCAGGTATTTATCTTTTAGAGGTAAGTACTAAAACATGGATGAAATGTCAGGTTACCTGATGTTTTCTGCAAAGTAATTTGGAAGAGGAAACAGATGGGGGATAGATGGAGTAAGACAGGCCATGAGTTGGTAACTGCTGAGGCTGGGCGATGGGTTCATCACACCATTCTGTCTACTTCTGTAAATGTCTGCAATTTTCCACAGTAAGAGGGAGAGAGAGGAGAGAAGGAGGGAGGCACAGAGGCTGGCCAAGCCTTGAAGCTTTAGCAGAAGTCATCAGATGAGGACTCCTCCAGGGTTTTCTGCCAGGGCCCACGCTCCAGCTCCGTAAGTAAGGACCTTTCCTTCCCCTGCACCCCAGCCCCAGGGAGGGAGACCTACCGCAAAGATGAGTGAAATGTCAGTGGTAAGGGCCTGCACTCGGTGGAAGGAAGCAATAAGGGTGATGGGAAGGAAACCGTCAGCATCCATTTTCCGTCGCAGGAAGAAGTCTCGCTCTAAATTGTCCACGCTGAAGTAGTACTCGCTAGGTGGAGGGGAGAAGACGGAGGATTGCTGTGTCACTTAGGAGTCGGCCTTTCTCGTCCTGCACACCCCCGCCACCTCACATAGCCTCTGACCGACCCTGACCCTATCATACGTACAGTATTAAAGGCTGGAAAGAGATGCTATCCTGTCAGGGCTCCCTAACCTCAGATCAGACCCATTCCCCTCACCCTTCAGCGTCTCTGTATGCCTGGCAAACCCCTCATCCACCCTTAAAACGCAGTTCCACTGTTACCAGTGACTTTCTCTTCTCCTAAAATACTGTGACACTCTCCTGAAACGATCTGCTTCCTTGTATGGCTCCCCCACTGGACTGAGACAATATATCAAAGTGATTAGGAGCTAGGGTTTTGTCATTAGACAGAAATGGATTCAAATCTGTGCCTTGTTGTTTACTAACTGTGAGACTCTGGGCAAGTTCCTGGGTCTATCTCCGAAATGGAGATAAGTAAGACCCAGCTCATAGGAATTAAGTGCAGGACGAAATAAGACAATGCCTGTAAGCACTTAAGACTGACCCTCGCCAACAGGGCGAACTCTGTAGGTGTTTGCCAGCATTCTGACCATGCTGCCATTACAAAAAGAAGTGCCGAGGACGTGGACTCTGGACATTCCCTCTCCTTTTCGTTGGTGGTAATTTCTAATTTTCTTAAGGCAAATATGGTGTTACTTTTGCAATAAATATTACCTTTATGAAAAATTAGCTCTTAAAGGATGAGCAGCAGTGATCTTTCTTAGCTCCAGCCAGGGGCAGCCGCTGCCGCTAGCACAACCCCAGAAGGACCGGCCCATCCCTACTCTGCCCAGCAGCCATCCTCTGACATGTCCCCACCCCCTACGCTTCTCTCCAGGAAGGCTCCTGTCCACTCACATCTGCCGCTTGATGTAGTCTTTGAGCAGCTCCTGGTCCACACTGTAAAGCTCAGTGCTGCTGACATTGTCAAAGTAGTAGGTGATGTTGTTCATGTACTTTGGGGTGCGAGGCCCCTCTGCACCATCAAACTTTCGGTAGCCAAACTGGTAGTCAAAATGGGCTACGGGGGAAATGGGTGCCATAAGGGAGGGGAGATCCCTGCCCACCGCCCCCGCCACACTCCCTCGGACATCCCGGAGCCCAAAGGGGCCTCACGTACTTCGAGTGCCACCCCGGCCGCGTCCCCGGCCGCGACCACGCCCCCGTCCACGGCCACGGAAGGAAGCCCGCGCCCCACCAGCCCCATCACTCTTCACACTCGATGTCTCATCCTGGTCGTGCCAGGCAGGCTCCGGTTTGGTCTCTGGTTGCCAGGCTGGGGTGGGGGGGGCCATGGGCACGGGCACGTAGGTGGCAGGCTCAGACCCTATGGGGAGAGGGGCACTGGGTCACGCTTGAGGGTGACCCCCATGCCCAGGCACTCCACAGTGGGCGGTGCATACCTTTGATCTCCCCTCGGTTGGCAGGTGTGTGTCGTGGCTCTGGTGGGCGAGCAGGGCGCGAAACCAGTTTTTCTCTGGGCACTTCAGGCTTCATGTCTATTTGCAACGGAACCCACTTGTGTTTGTTCCCTGGAGGACAGCATGGGGACATGAGGACGGCTTGAAGGAGAGGTCCCTCCTAGCCATCCCTACCCCTGTTACTCCTCTGTCTGGAGCAACAGGTCTGATGCACAATCTGATGACCTTGGGCAAATTCCTTCTCCCACACTGGACCTCACTTTTACCTCTAAAATAAGGAAGCCATGGACCTCAGGGTGACAGACACGCCTGGCTGACCCCTAATATCAGTTTCTCCATGGTCAGAGAACCCCTTTCTGGAGCCGGACATGTGGCTGCCCAAAATCGAGACTGCACTTCCAGGCTCCCTTTAGACACGTGCCAAAATTCTGTCTACGAGAGCTACGTGAAAGTAGTCAATTCCAGGTTGAGTCCTTCAAAGGGAGCTACTCTCCCCCTTTTCCATTCCTGCTAGCTGGAATGAGAAGGAAAGACTGAGCCACCTTGGATGAGAAGAGCCAACATACCACCGCAAGATGAAAGGAAAATGAAATGAAATGGTTGCCATTCTAGGGCTGGCCTACTTAGACCCAGCTGTCAGGTGAGAGAAAGAAACTTCTATCTTGTTTAAAACACTGTTACTTTGAATCTCTGTTAGAGCAGCCAACCCGTAACCCTAAACACCTTAGCCAAGGCAATGGAACTCTTGTCTTCAAACAGAATCTTACATGGGACAGCAATACAGCAAGACACACTGATTATTCTGAGTCAGGGACCTCATCTGTTCTGCGCACTGCTAGAGCCCAACTGCTGAGAAGAGGGCCTACCGGATGCTTGTTAAGTAACAGAAGGAACGGACAGACGGAAGGCAGAAGTGAAGGCTGCTAGCCCAGCGGCCTATGTCAGTCAGCCTCCCAAGGACTTCTCAGGGCTCTGGAAACTCATCCAGCAACCCCGAGTTCAGACACTTCACAGTTCTGCCTGCCGCTTCTCCCCAAGCCCTGCTGCAAGCCACTCACCTTTCTTCTTCTGGCCCCCTCGCTGGCAGTCCTCGTCCCCATTCTTCTCCTCCCCAGATTCATCCGACTTGGTTTTTGGGCTCTCTTTACTATCGCTCCCCTCTCCTTTCTCCTGTTCCTTCATGTCCTTTTTGGGTGGCAGCTTACGGGCAGGCTGGGACTTGTGGGACTGTGGCTGCAGGGGAAATAGAGGAACAGGGGGCTGGGGTGAATCTGAGAGCCTCCTGGGATGGATAGGAGGGAATCCCCGCCACTAGAAAGACAGGGCAGAGGCGCTGGAGCATGCAACAAGGAGTTGGACTAGATGGAGTCTAAGGTCCCGTTTTTACGCCTGAGATGCTCCCACTGGGAAGTGTGGTCAAACACGCAGCAGGTGGGACGCTCCATCTTCCTTGAGTCTAAGGGACAGAAACAACCCTCAGGACACAGGGGTGAGGCCCACGGGGGCCATATATTTACTCCTGTACAAGACCAGAAAGACCATACCGTCCCGGAAGTCTGTGGGATGGAAGAGATGCTAGCCCTCGGCTTGTCCACAGCAACCCTATCTGTGAACTGAAGGCCAGTAGCCACAGCTAGTGAGGGATCTAGGCCATCAGCCCAGAACAAAAGCACCCGAAAGCGAGAACTGATCCGGAGTTCCTCCTCTGCTGGCATGACGAGTGCTACACAAGTGTCCCTAAGACATATGGTCTAGAGGTGGGTACCTAGCCTAATGGTAGGTACCCTCTCCTGCTTCACTGACGGGCAACCCAAGTATAGCTGATGGAGAACACAAGCTCCGGAATAATATAACACACTTGACTTCCGATCCCCACTTGACCATCAAGGGCTGGTTATGAGCCTCTCCCAAGGGCTCAGAGTTATTATCTTCAGTGGCCTCATCTGTAAAACGGGAATTACTGAAGGACCTATCTCTAAGTCACTGTGAGGGGTAGGTGAAATGGTAAGCAGCACTTGGCAGTTCCTGGCATACAGCAAGGGCTCAAATGATGATTCTTAGCAATTTCAGTGCTGCCATATTATACCAACCACTCCTCTTAAAAAACTGAGAAAAAAACAGGAAAGGTAAGACCCAAGGCTCTGAGAACTTAAGAAGCCAAATGTGTATATGTCCACAGCATTCAAACCTGTCCATTCTTCCCCAGAGACGCACCTGTACGCTCTTGTGGGCTATCTCTCCAGGTGTGGGCCAGTTGATTGCATCTCCAAAGTCACCAACCTGCAAGACACATTCTATGAGGGCCCTGGGGTGGCCTTGTCTCTGCCATTTAGCCTGTCATTCAAAATACCATTCCCCCAAGAGATCAGAAGCCACAATCAGTCTGTCCACTAGGATCATCCACACTGGAAGCCCAGACGGGGCTCCCCTGCTATTGAGAGCATAACTACCTCGAAGTTCAGAAGAGGTCATACCACCTCTTTCTTCAAGAAGTCCCCTTAGGTTGCCCGCTCCACTCCTTACCTTGCTGCCTTTGCGCTGTTTAGGAACTGCTGCCCTCACCACCTTGGCTGGAGCAGAATGTTCTGTGGGAACAAGAAGGGAGAGATGGTTATGCAAAACCCATGGGGGGCCACCACTAGCTCCTCAACCTCATTACCACCCCTACTCCATCAAGCAACCTGCAGGTTTCCAAAGGAGGAAGACATGGTGAAGAGGGGAAGGACACATGCTCAACAACCAGTAACAACTGTACCAGCCTCTCTCGGAAGAAATCACGGAAAGTGAGATCATGGAAACAATCAGCAGCCAACACCCCAGGAACTCGACTCTGAGGCAGAAGGGCCCTCCCAGCTCTGTACCCTCCTATAAAGAGGGCCCTGAGCCCTGGAGAGGGTAAGTCCATGGCAGACTGGGGCCATGCCAGAACTGGCTCTATAACGAAGGCTCCCCGACCCCAGCAGATCCTTCCCCAGAAAGGATCTGAAAGGCCTTTTCTAGCTCTAACACTGTGGAAGTCTGTGTATGAGCAGACCTGGGCTAATGATCACGGGAAAGGCAAGATAAAAACCCTGAGCTGGCAATCAAGTCCAGGGCTCTCTTCCAAGCCTCCCCATCCCCCCAGTGGGGTCAGCTCTGTCCTCAAGGACCTGCAGTCAACAGAAGGGCTAGCCACTCAGGAAAGACTCTCTGCTCTCCAAGTTCCCAAAGCAAAAGTGAGACCCACTTGACTCAATGGTCCTACCTTTAGGAATTTATCCTAATCACACAAATTAGATGAGTGCTTAGAGTTAGGTAAAAAGATGTCGTCCTTAACAGAAGTGCTATTTCTAACTTCAAAAAATTGAAAAGCTTCATGTCCAACAGCAGAAACCTGGCTAAATTAAAGTTTAACAATTTTTAGTCATTAAAAAGATAATGCTCTCTACCAGAGATAAAAGATATGAAAAGATAAACACAATAAATGAGAAGACTTGCAACCCTATTTTTATAAAGCAAATAAAAAACATGTATATTTAGGGGCACCTGGGTGGCTCAGTAGGTTGGTTTCAACTCAGGTCATGATCTCAGAGTTGTGAGCCTCACATGCTAAGGGGGGAGTCTCCTTGAGATTCTCTATCCCTCTCCCCTCTGCCCCTCCCCCTGCTTTCTCTCTCAAATAAATATTTTTAAAAAGCCCCATGTATATGCACATATACACAAGTAGGAATATCTGGAAGGCCATATAACCAAGTATTATCAGGAGTAAAGTAGTATGTTAACAGTGATTTAATTCTGCTTGGAATTTTCCAGTCATTTCAACAAAGACATGGGCTTTTTAAAAAAAAAAAAAAAAAATTTTTTTTTAAGGAAGTAACAGGTCTGGTCCCTTCTACACCTACACTTATTTTCCAAACACACTTCTGAAGAACAAGGGTTTCTGAACCCTGTCACCCTCAGAGACCCATGGGAAAAGGTATATCCTGAGGCTCTGCTCACCCACTTCTCTCTCACTTTGCCTCCATTGTTGGCCAACCATGCCAAGACAAGAGCTGCCCTCAGTCCCTGAAGAGATATCTGCCTAGCTGGCCTCAAAAGGAATTCTCTATTCCTTGAAAAGTCCCATGTTCTCTTAATGAGTAGAGAGAGTCCCTGACTCCTGTGGGGCCACAGCATTCTTGGTTTTCAAACCCTACCGGAGCCACTGCCCCCTCAAGATACCCCACACGCCTTCTGAAAGCTGGAGCTGTGGAACCCAGCTCACAGCATCTTCCATCCTCAGTGCCGGACAGGGGAAACCCAGAAAATCTCTCAGTCCCAAGAGAATGAAGCTTGTAGGACCGGGGAGCTACTATGCACTGACTTCCTTGCCAATCCTGGGTGCCCAGGAGAAGTCTACCACCACCCAGGTCCCAGACGAGGCTGCTGCTTGGAACCAGGACCCAGAGGAAGCAGCTGCTGCAGGTGACTACACTGGAGTTATGGCAATAATCACTTCTCCAGGGACCCATGCTCCAGCCCCCAACAGCACTCCCTGCATGCTATCAGGACAAGAGCAGGCCAAAGGCCTGCAACTTCAAGTTCATTAACAAGAAGTGGGAAAGGAGAATCAGGCTCAGAGGTGAGGTGTTCCTGAAGACTTTTCTTGAAAAGATGAGGCTAAGTTTTTCAGGTTATTGTCTGTTTCTTCTCATAAAAATAATAAAAACTCTTAAAATTGGGAAGAGTCATATCCTGTGATCACCCTGCCTGACATTTCATTCACCAAGATCACAAAGGGACATGTAACCCAACTGAAAGTTGGGTCTCCAATTAATGGAAGAGCCATCCTCTGCCACTAAAAGACCATACTGATTCCCTATTCCCTCACCAACCCCAAGATGACCGAGGGAATATGGCTAGTCTGGGCATACACAAGAATATTCTTCAAGTAGTCCTGTGTGCAGTTTGTTGAAAAAGCCCCATGTCTAGCTAGCCTCCCTCTGCCCCCAGGACCCATAGTGCCTTGCTCTTGCTCTGCTCGCAGGTAGAGCCTCAGGCTGCCCCTACTCCAAGGAAGAACAAAGTCTCCTAGAGAGACAGAAGAGTCCACTAGGGAGAGAGAACTACTTCTGCCTTTCTGTAAAATTCCTAGATCTGTTAAAATCCTGTGGGGCCTAGGAGAAGCCGGGAAGGCTCAAGTGCATAGCTGTCAGGCCCTGCGGGAGACGAGAAAAAAGACTAGGCTTTCTGACTTCAATTACACATCCCTTTCTGGGTCCCCCCACCCCCACCATCCTCCTTCACCAGGCAACCAACCAACACACGCTCTCTCTCCAGCTCCACAATATATACAGGGCTTGGCGTCTGAAATGGCTCCCAATAAAAACCAATCCTTTGTGCAGGTGCCAGTCTCCACGTCCAGCATCATCCCAGCCAAAAAAGGGAACAAGCCCCCTCCTCCGCCTCTGCATTCTGACACGTGTGCCAGCTGACCCACACCCAGCTCAGCAAACACTAAACTCACCACCCTGCACCTGCCCAAGGAAACAGAGAGGTTAGAGCAGCAAAAAGGACCATGGTTCTAATCCCCTCTGCTTGCAGATAGGGAACCGAGGCCCTAAACGGGCCTCCCTAGGGAAAAGCCAGGATGAGAGCCGGAAGTCCCAACTCTCCTGGTTCAAGTGCTCTTCTGGCTTGCCACAAATCCCACGTGTCCACTGGTAGGGTCAATCCTCCTTCCTGGTGCCATCTTAGGGCCCTTCCCCAGTGTATCCTGGTAAACAGAGTTACTGAAGGCTGGGAGAGGTTCTCAGGTACTGAGGGAGGTCAGAGTGTGGTGAGGCAGGCCCTACTTGAGGCCCACCATTCTAAGGGAGCAGGATGGCAGAGAGAGGCCCCAGGAGGACCTGCCTCCTAGATTAAGACAAGTCCGGAGCTAACAGGTATCTGGAAAAGGAGAAAAGCCACTTTCTATCCCATAGGACCATCTTTAGCCAGTAGTCAGTAGTGATTCTAGTTCCAGGGGGTTAAGGGGCTTCCTAAATATACACGTGCATTTGGGTATTAAATGAAGCCCACCAGAACCTCTCTATGTGTGGTTGTGGTCGTAGAGGTAGAACACCAGGAGACTGTATCTGCATGGCCAACTCACTATTTTCACTTCAGATTATTGAGAGTGCTGCGGACCAAGGGAGTTAACCCACCACGGCTAATGCAGGATACCAGGAAATGAGGTAGGCCAAAGGTGGGTGCTGAGGGTGGGCAGGGCAGAGAGCAGCTCCCCCGCAAAGTGGAGTGGCTGCCCGCACCACACTGTCTAACCCTCTCAGATTTGCTCTCTCCGCCTCAACTGTCACCCCTGCATTCAAAGACGGTCTAGGAACGCAGGCAGCCCATCATAACGCCATGGACTTTGGTATCTACTGCACATACTCTGCCCCCAGAGAACCCCTCTGAACTGGTTTCCTCATCTCTAAGACTGAAGTCCTAATTATCTCATAGAGCCGCCGTGACAGTTACATGAACAGAGCGTAAGAGTACCCAGCACACAACAAATGCGAAGTATGCCAATTCAGATTCACACAGAAAGTTTATTTTTCCAAGTAATCCTCACCCTCATCATTAAAAAGGAAAAAAAAAACCCATTAAATGATCTCTCAACATGAAAGGAATCAGAATGTGTGAAGAAAAACTCCTGGGCATCAATTGGCTCAATTCACTGATTCAGATTTGAAATGCACCGCCCCGCCCCCGGACTCCAGCCTGCCTTTCTTCCGGACACCGCCCTCTATAGACAGGCTGGGCTCCGGGGCAGGTTTCCCCAGGAAAGAGGAAAGAAAAGAGGGGGAAATTCACCACAAGTCCCTGGGGAGGCTTTGGTATAAGCCCCTGCCATGCTAGAGGAAGGAAGAGCATAGGGAAGCCTTGGAGTTCTGACTTCAATTACACATCCCTTTCTGGGTCCCCTCCCCACCATCCTTAATTTTTTTACTCAGCGTGGAAGGAAGAGAGCCTGGCCTCGAGGAGTATCTCTCAGCCTACAAAGGGACCAAAGCCATAAACACCTGGTATAAAGCCAGATAAAACAAACACATTTTCTATATTGTCTTGTTCTAGAAAGATCCTAATGCTACTGATCCTTTGCAATAAAAGCAACCTAGAGGGGCCACATCTAGGAGATCTAAAGAGCAAAGACTTGGTCAACCAGTGAGAAACTAGGGGTTTTAGGGGGAGAAGGCACATGGGTGAGTCAAACTCATCAGATCATCGTAAAAAGAACTGGTAAGAGGGAGAAGCTGGAAATGAAACTGGGGGACAAACATGGGTAAAAGGTGAGACCAGGCTGGGCCAGATGGGAGAAAGCCTGTAGGACTGAGTGGGTGGCCAGAGATTTCAGCCTCAGCGCCAGCAGAATGGAAAAGGCCTAATGTTTATTTTGGGGCTGGCACCATTTCCTGGAGATTGGCATCTGAAAAGATTAAGTTTACCCTGACTGGAAAGAACTTCTACTTTGGGGAACAAGGGAATTTATTAGGCTACATAGGGGCTGCATTACTTGAGTTCACACTCAAGTGTGGACCTGTGGACCTTTATCTGGCCATTAGATCAATCTCCTTGGGGAGCC